AAAAAAAAAAGGTTGTAATATCCTGGAATATCTATCTATATATATATATATATATATATATATATATATATATATATATATATATATATATATATATATATATATATATGCACAGTAGAGTGCTAGGGAAGACTAAACTGTAGTTGACTTAGGTTGTTGCACTTGCACTGCAGATATGTACTAACCATATAAATGAGTGAAAATTACACAGGCTACACAGTAGTTGACGTGTTATTGCACAGTGAGAGACAAGAATATTCCCCTTGAATGACAATAGGTGATGTTTTGCATAAGATGTCCAAGAAGGAGGGGTGCTGACCCTTGTCCCGCTTCATATCACCTCCTCTTTCCCCCTTCCTCCTTAGGAGTTATACAGCTTTATGGCTCGGGGAACAAAGGAGTTCAGCTGTGATAGCTAAGGTGGGGGGAACAGGTGGAGGCTGGGGGTAGAGATGCTGTTTCTGGGGTGAATTGTGCAGGAAAGGGGAGATGGCTGCAGCAGCGGTGTAGGGGTCACAGGTTTGTCAAAGCTGTTGAAGAATTAGATTTTTATGTAAAAAGAGATTGACATTATAAGCATCCATTTTGAATTTGAACCATGTTCCGTCAGGGTGTCACCCGACAATATGCTTCTTGTTCAATATGCTTCTGAAACACCGGCCACAACCAAATAGCTTCCGCCACAACAATCCGGCCCCCTTGATAATCGACCAATCACTTTCACTTTATTCACTCGCGTAAAGTCGGGCACCACTCGGGAGAATTCGGAATTGCAACCATTGGAACAGCTGTTTTCCTACTTTAAGGTTTTTCTGCCATTTTAGTCAAATAGGCTCAAGCAAACAGTTAAAGTGTTTGTGAAAATTGGGCAATGATGAGCAAAATGAAACGTGTTATTCAGTTTTACTCAAACATTTTTCCACCATCTTTGGTTGTAATCTGGTTGAAAGTCATGTGTTCAACCAACATTATAGCTAAACCAGCCAATATAATTTGGCAGTGCTTTTACCCAAAATATATTACTACTAGGGCAAACCAATACAAATTAGTCACATTAGCCAAAATACTTGCTAAGTATTATCACAACTTTCAAAAGTCTAAGGTGGGTTTCAAACCAACAACCTTAGGATTAGAAGTCAATGTCTTACAGCTGACGGCACTAGCAATGGTAACTGCACCATGGAGAGCAATACTATTTAGCACTGATATTACTATTTAATCTGACCTAAATAGTTTAACCAAGTAGATTGGTTGTTATCGGGGAAACGCCTCCTCCACTACTCAACACACGCCTCAAAGCCTCGGCTCATCTCAAACGTGCATCAAGCTAGGCTAAGCCAGCTGATGATGTTGACCTGTTTCTCTTCCAAAACTTTTTTAACCTCCTTTCAGGTGTAAATGCGCCATCATTTGGTCTTTCAGCAGGAGAAGCAAAGCCTTTTCACTTTCTTACAGTATAAGGTAATAAGGTGCTATAACATGTGCAGAAGTGATGAATAACATGAAACAGTGGTACCTTTAATTCTTTCCTGTGAAAATCTAATGTCTCTAATTTGAATCAAAGTAAAATCTTCATATTAAAAATTTAGAGAGTGGATATGAAGGCTGATCTCTATCTGTGACAGTAAAATTGACTCTTTACACAAAAAACAAGCACTTTTGTAATACTTACACGATCATCTGATCTTGAATTAATTCCCCGGAAGGACCATGAGACAATGACTTTCTCAGGCAATATTGGCTGAGTGGAGGTGAAGGAGCACCACAGCCTCACATTGGTCCCATTGACAGCCTCCAGCTCCTTTTTCGTTTTAATTTCTATTCCCAAAACTTCTTGCACTCCTGAAATGAAAGAAAAAAAAAAACAAATATTGGTAGATTAAAATAGTATAAAACTAACAGGAGCCTCATTAAGGGGCCGAGAAAATAAATAAAAAAAGTTTTTTCTGATGGCCAGCTGTCACATTTCACATCCGATGTTGTCACATATTGACTAATACCAATGCAAGGAAAGAAAAAAGCCATATCGGCCAAAAATATAATCCTGTTGATGAATCAAGTCATCTCCCTTTGATATGCATCCTAACTTTAGGACTGTAAGAAAAGAAAAAATTGATTATCAAATATCGCAGTATTTCATTAGACAACCATTTTATGGATTCAAAATATGGCTGAATAGATCTTATATTTAAAAAATATTTATAGAGAAACATTTATGGCATCGTCTTCATTTAATATACCTCTTAAACCTCCAGCCACCATGTGGCAGGCCATCTTTAAGTGTCTAATATTCAGCTGCTCTGCACCAGCCACAGCAGTGCATTAAGTTTTTTAAGAGCTATATATATATATATATATATACATTTTTTTTTTTTTTTTTACAAAAAAATGCAAAATATTGTAGGGCTGAAACAATTAATAGGAATAATCAATAATCGTCAACTAATTCAGTGATAGATTAATACTTTAGATTAAAAAAGTGCGTTTAGACAACAGAGACCCACTTAAAGCAATACTAATGCCAAGATTGTAAAAATATATACAAACATTTTGCATTTAAGATAAAAAAGATATTTTTGTCTCTCAATCTGCTCTATCTAGAACTCCTCAAGTGTAAAAGTTTTACTTTCCCCTTGGTTAACTTTATCAAAAGTGTTCTTTAAGGAACCTTTGGAACCTATACATTTATTAATCCATAAATCAAAAAATAATCAACAGATTTATCGATTTGCAAAATAATCGTTAGTTGCAGACCTAAAATATTGTCTTTTATAATGTATCGAGATAAATCAGGATAAATCATATCGTGGAAGGTGTATTGTGTTACATATCGTATCCCGAAATCCTTGCAAATTTACAAACCATACTATAATCCATTGATTTCTAACAGGGGGCACTCATACCCCTAGTGGTGCACAAGTGCATTGCAAGGGGTTTATTAAGTTTCTCCAGTAATAAAATAAAAAAAAAAGAGCTGGAATCTGTTCTACTTTGTGAGGACTCAACAAAAAAATAAAACAGGCTTTTTTCAACCAGAAAGTCAGTTTTGACTGATGTTTGAGTTTAGCTTAATCTTTGATACACATAAAACCAAACAGAATAACAGACTGAATGTAGAGAACAGGCTAAGATCACCTGTTTTCCCACATCTGATCAAAGCCGCTCAGTTGTCATGAATGATAAAAAAAGTAAGATATAACAAATTGAGTCAGTCGGACTATAATTTTTGTTCAGTATTTTGTTCCCGATTCTATTATATGTGATTACAAGGGAGTTACAGCTTTATAAAGACAGATTTATAGTATTATTTTATTTTGTATTTATTTTGATACATTACTAACTTCCGGGCAACAGATTTAAGTTTTTTTTTTTTATATGAGTTGGAAAGAATAACATGTCAAAGATTAAATAAAATACTTGAGGGCTGAAACAATCAGTCATGATTAATCGATTATTGAAATAATCGTCAACTAATTTAGTAATTATTTAATCATTAACCGGAGACTGCAAAACATGCCTCTAGCTGACAGAGCGACCCACTTACAGCAGTAATTATAAGATTGTAATAATATATACAGACATATAAACCTTTTGCATTTAAGATTTAAAAAAATCTTTTTTGACAGACAATCTGCTCTATCCGGAACTCCTCAAGTGGAACATTTTTAGTTTCACCTGGTTTATTTTCATAAAAAAAAAAATCTTTAAGGAACTTTTGGCTATCTGATTATTAATCAGTTAAACGAAAACATAATCACTAGATTAATCGATTTACTCATGGTACAAAATCCTATGGGTAGACAATTTAAAAAAGGTTGGGAACCACTGCCCATAATCTTATAGACAGATCACAAACCTGTATCCCAAACTAGTATAATATAATATGAAATAATAATTTGATTTTAAAAATATCAGGATTTTCCAAAAGAGATGTAAGATGAGCAAATACTGAGATGCAATGAAATTAAATTATTATGAATGCCAGTAGTTTTTTTTTTTTAAAGCCATTTGTTATTTAAATTAAAATGAAAATAACTCAAATTGGGGAAAAAAAGTTAAAACAGTTAAATGTGGTTTATTTACCATTAGATCTCTTTCTTCAAAAAGTCTGCTAGTTAATGACTTGATTTGTGATAGTCACATTGATTTATGTTGCCATACAGAAACTTGGCTGAAGCAGCAAGAGGATTACGTGAGCATAAATGAGGCAACTCCTTCGTTATTTAAATTTTCACATAACCAGAAATTCAGGGTGAGGAGGAGGAGGAGTAGCAACAATCTTTCTGTCTGACTTACTAATTATTCCGAAGGCAGTTAATAATATCAACTCTTTTAAACATTTAACCCTTACTTTCCCTCCTCCAAACTGCAAAGCCAGAAAACCTCTTTTTTTTGTAACTTTGTATCGTCCACCAGGTCCTTACTCTGAATTTTTAAATGAGTTTTCAGAGTTCCTATCTGATTATTTGTATATTGGCAGGGTCACCATAGTGGAGGATGACATCTATGACATCTATGCTGACATTGAATGTAATAGCTTAAGTGCAGCATTTAATGCTATCTTAGACACTATTGGCTTTGTTCAAAATGTGAATAGTCCCACACATTTTCATCTTCATACATATGGCATTGAATGCGAAGAAATAACAGTATTTCCTCATAACCTTGTCCTCTCTGACCACCTTTTAATAACCTTCAGGATTTAACTTTATTTCAGGTTTAACTTCAGCAGATCATCAGTTACAAATTTTAAAGAATCTGTTTTACTTTCTCTCTCCTTTGTGTCACTGCACAGTGCTGCAGATAGCAAAAGTTTAGCTTGTTCCCCTTCACAGGTTTAGGATTTTGTTGAAGGGTTTGGTTGCTAGTTTTCTGCGTACTGCCTTTGACAATGCAGCCCCTTTGAAAAAGAAAACTTTAAAAATCAAAAGCATGTTTAATGTAGAGCTGAGCACTCTAAATGAAAAATGATGGGACACTGAGAGAAAATGGCGCTCTACATGCCTACGGGAATCCTACCTAGTCTGGAAAAATAGTTTACTGCTGTATAAGAGGACCCTTTGTAAAGCAAGAGCATATTTATCCTCATTAATAGAGTAGAATAAGAATAATCCTAGGCATCTTATTAATACAGTTGCAAAACTCTCCCGGAGTCACAGCTCTGTTGAACCATCCATCCCACCTGATGTTAGCAGCAATGATTTTATGTGGCCTTAAAATCTGAACTGGATTTATACTGCTTTGATCCAGTTCAACTTTCAGAGTTAGCAAAAGTATTGTCTTCATATAGGCCTTCAACTTATATGTTTGATCCAGTTCCAAGCAGGTTATTTAACCCTTTGATCTCCTCCTCCATTTTAGATGTGATTAATCTATCCCTTTTCCAGGGATATGTATCAAAGGCTTTTAAGGTTGCTGTAACCAAACCTTTACTTAAGAAACCGTCTCTTGACCCAGATGACTTGGTCAATTATAGACCTATATCCAATCTTCCTTTCTTTTCTAAAATTCTAAAAAAAA